CTCAGCCTCAGCGTGCTTCAGCCTCAGCATCAGTCTGCCTTCAGACTCGGCCTCAGCCTCAGCCTGCCTCAGCCTCAGCCTGCATCAGCCTCAGCCTCAGCCTCAGCCTGCCTCAGCATCAGCCTGCCTCAGCCTCAGCCTCAGCCTCAGCCTCAGCCTCAGCCTCGGCCTGCTTCAGCCTCAGCCTCAATCTGCCTTCAGCCTCGGCTTCAGTCTCAGCCTGCCTCAGCCTCAGCCTGCATCAGCCTCAGCCTCAGCCTCAGCCTGCCTCAGCCTCAGCCTGCATCAGCCTCAGCCTGCTTCAGCCTCAGCCTCAGCCTGCATCAGCCTCAGCCTGAGTCTGCCTTCAGTTTCGGCCTCAGCCTCAGCCTGCCTCAGCCTGCCTCAGCCTCAGCATCAGCCTGCCTCAGCTTTCAAAATGTGGCCAGGGAATGGAATTCTGGGAACTCGAAGAACACGAAGTGGCCTACAGTTTGCTCCGGGCATTCAAAATCATACCCAGGAATGGAGTTCTGGGAAGTCCAAGAGCACGAAGTGGCCTACAGTTGGCTCCGGGCATCCAAAATGTGGCCCGGGAGTGGAGTTCTGGGAAGTCGAAGAGCACGAAGTGGCCTACAGTTGGCTCCGGGCATCCAAAATGTGGCCCGGGAATGGAGTTCTGGAACTCGAAGACCACGAAGTGGCCTACAGTTGGCTCCGGGTATCCAAAATGTGGCCCGGGAATGGAGTTCTGGGAAGTCGAAGAGCACGAAGTGGCCTACAGTTGGCTCCGGGCAGTCAGAATGTGGCCCGGGAATGGAGTTCTGGGAGGTCGAAGATGGAGTTCTGAGGTCGAAAGCACAAGTGTGTGACTGTATGCGAAAAACGAGGTTCCGCGGATCCCCCCCGGAAATCCCCAACGGCCCCCCCAACGGCCCCCCAACGGCTCCCCAACGGCTGCCCAGACCCCCCTGTGGAGTAATGTGCTGCTCTCTTTTTACACCATTAGAAACCTATCAGTCTTCGCTGTTAGGTAATTATCCCGGCAAAGCAACCTAACATCGATGTGTAGGAGCATATCTGGAAGCATTCCCCTTAAGATTCGGATGAGAATCCAGTTGTAGAATTCTGCTGTTCTCGCAGTCGTAGTCGCATTCGCGATGACAGTCGCAGCGGCAACGGCAGTCGCAGTCACAGCCTCAGCCTCAGCCTGCCTCAGCCTCAGCCTGCCTCAGCCTCAGCCTGCCTCAGCCTCAGCCTCAGCCTGCTTCAACCTCAGCCTCAGTCTGCCTTCAGCCTCGGCCTCAGCCTCAGCCTGCCTCAGCCTCAGCCTGCATCAGCCTCAGCCTGCCTCAGCCTGAGCCTGCCTCAGCCTCAGCCTCAGCCTCAGCCTGCCTCAGCCTCAGCCTGCCTCAGCCTCAGCCTCAGCCTTCTTCAGCCTCAGCCTCAGTCTGCCTTCAGCCTCGGCCTCAGCCTCAGCCTGCCTCAGCCTCAGCCTGCATCAGCCTCAGCCTCAGCCTCAGCCTGCCTCAGCATCAGCCTGCCTCAGCCTCAGCCTCAGCCTGCCTCAGCCTCAGCCTCAGCCTGCTTCAGCCACAGCATCAGTCTGCCTTCAGCCTCAGCCTCAGCCTCAGCCTGCCTCAGCCTCAGCCTGCCTCAGCCTCAGCCTCAGCCTGCCTATGCCTCAGCCTCAGCCTGCTTCAGCCTCAGCCTCAGTCTCCCTTCAGCCTCGGCCTCAGCCTCAGCCTGCCTCAGCCTCAGCCTGCATCAGCCTCAGCCTTAGCCTCAGCCTGCCTCAGCATCAGCCTGCCTCAGCCTCAGCCTGCCTCTGCCTCAGCCTCAGCCTGCTTCAGCCTCAGCCTCAGTCTGCCTTCAGCCTCGGCCTCAGCCTCAGCCTGCCTCAGCCTCAGCCTGCATCAGCCTCAGCCTCAGCCTCAGCCGGCCTCAGCATCAGCCTGCCTCAGCCTCAGCCTCAGCCTGCCTCAGCCTCAGCCTCAGCCTGCTTCAGCCTCAGCCTCAGTCTGCCTTCAGCCTCGGCCTCAGCCTCAGCCTGCCTCAGCCTCAGCCTGCATCAGCCTCAGCCTCAGCCTCAGCCTGCCTCAGCATCAGCCTGCATCAGCATCAGCCTGCCTCAGCCTCAGCCTCAGTCTGCCTCTGCCTCAGCCTCAGCCTGCTTCAGCCTCAGCCTCAATCTGCCTTCAGCCTCGGCCTCAGCCTCAGCCTGCCTCAGCCTCAGCCTGCATCAGCCTCAGCCTCAGCCTCAGCCTGCATCAGCATCAGCCTGCCTCAGCCTCAGCCTCAGCCTGCCTCAGCCTCAGCCTCAGCCTGCTTCAGCCTCAGCCTCAGCCTGCCTTCAGCCTCGGCCTCCGCCTCAGCCTGCCTCAGCCTCAGCCTGCATCAGCCTCACTCTCAGCCTCAGCCTCAGCCTCAGCCTCAGCCTGCCTCAGCATCAGCCTGCCTCAGCCTCAGCCTCAGCCTGCCTCAGCCTCAGCCTCAGCCTCAGCCTCAGCCTGCTCAGCCAAAGCCTCAGTCTGCCTTGAGCCTTGGCCTCAGCCTCAGCCTCAGCCTGCCTCAGCCTCAGCCTGCATCAGCCTCAGCCTCAGCCTCAGCCTGCCTCAGCATCAGCCTGCCTCAGCCTCAGCCTGCCTCTGCCTCAGCCTCAGCCTGCTTCAGCCTCAGCCTCAGTCTGCCTTCAGCCTCGGCCTCAGCCTCAGCCTGCCTCAGCCTCAGCCTGCCTCAGCCTCAGCCTCAGCCTGCCTCAGCATTCAAAATGTGGCCCGGGAATGGAATTCTGGGAACTCGAAGAACACGAAGTGGCCTACAGTTGGCTCCGGGCATTCAAAATCATGCCCAGGAATGGAATTCTGGGAACTCGAAGATCACGAAGTGGCCTACAGTTGGCTCCGGGCATCCAAAATGTGGCCCGGGAATGGAGTTCTGGGAACTCGAAGAACACGAAGTGGCCTACAGTTGGCTCCGGGCATCCAAAATGTGGCCCGGGAATGGAGTTCTGGGAAATAGAAGAGCACGAAGTGGCCTACAGTTGGCTCCGGGCATCCAAAATGTGGCCCGGGAATGGAGTTCTGGGAAATGGAAGAGCACGAAGTGGCCTACAGTTGGCTCTGGGCATCCAAAATGTGGCCCGGGAATGGAGTTCTGGGAAATCGAAGAGCACGAAGTGGGCACGAAATGTGTGACTGTATGCGAAAAACGATCCCCGCCGGCAAACCCCAACAGCCCCCCAACTGCCACCCAACGGCTGCCCAGACCCCCCTGTGGAGTAATGTTGAAGTAATGTTGAAGTAATGTGCTGCTCTCTTTTTAGACCACTAGAAACCTACCAGTCTTCGATGTTAGGTAAAAACAGTGTTCAGGTCCACCCCTGGTGTTGAACCCACCACGAGCTCCTTCCCGACCTTGCGCTTCTTCACGAGCAGGGCCCGCGTCAGGGTGGACTCGTCCACGGCCAGCAGGGCGGTGGCTTTCGTGAACGCGCCCGAACCCCCGGTGACCACGCTCGCGCCCTCCTCCGGGTCCCTCTCGTTGTCCTCGAAGCCCCTCCTCCTCCTCCTCCTCCTCCTCCTCCTCCTCCTCCTCCTGCTACCTCCTCCCTCCGGCTCGTCCCCGCCAACAGTTCCAAGATCTGAGGGAGCGGTTTTCAAAACGTGGCCTCTTGCCTCTTCCTCGCTCCTCCCATCTCGAGCTTCCCCCATACCCTCCCCGGGCGTCTGGCTGAATGGCCCAAGGGGGTCCTTGAAGTCGATGTTACCAAGGCTGAGGACACCCAGGACGACACTGAAGATCGCCCTCCGCGTGTCCTCTGGGAAGCAAGCGGTCAGGACCGCTTGTCCAAACCCCGCTTCACCTCTCCCCCTCGAAATCCCCCCCGTCAAGAGAGGAATGCAGAACGGCATAGGCATAAACTGCTGGCGCTCCGCGCGGATTTCCTGGATCTGCGCTGGACCCCTCCCCTGGCGCGCGGAGCGCGCCAGGGGCGGCACCCGAGGCGCCGCCACAGGGGGCTCCAGCACAGATCCAAGAAATCCGCGCGGAGCTACGACGGTTTATGCCGTCCTTCGTCGCGCCAAGGAGGGAGGGAGAAGAAGTCCCTCCCTCTCTCTCCGGGCGGACGCGAGGAGGGGATAGCACAGGGGAGCCTAGCGAATCCGCTCACGTACAGCTGTGGCCTCTCGGGCGCTGGAGGCGCCGAGGCGTCGAGAAGAGCGCTGGGCGGCGGATCCGAAGCCGGCTGCGTGCAGCAGCTTCCACACGGCCCCCCTCCCTCCGAGTCCCCCCGACTCCCTCCGACCCCCTCCGAACGCCTCCTCCTCCATCCCTCCAGCCCGCCTCCTCTGCGCACCCTCCGCTTAACGCGCCTCTCCGCCTCCGCTGCGTGTCCTCCAATTCCCCGCGTCCTCCACCCTCCATCCGTCCCTCCGCCTCCCCCTCCGAATCAAGATGATATTCCTCCTCCTCCTCCTCCTCCTCCTCCTCCTCCACCTCCTCAACCTCCTTCTCCTCTTTCGGCTTCCTACCCCCCTGATTCCTCTGTTCAGATTCCTCATCTACCCCTTCCTCATCATCCTCCTTCTCTTCCTTCTCCTCCTCATCTCGCTCGTTAACCTTCGCATCCCTCTAACCCCTCCTCCCTGTCTCTCAGCTCCTCTTCATCCTCTTCCTCCCGCCCTCCCCCTCCTCCCTCTCTCTCGCCCTCCCTCCCTCCCTCCCTCAGTCCCTCCCCTCCTCCTCCTCCTCCCCTCCTCCTCCTCCTCCTCCTCCTCCTCCTCCTCCTCCTCCTCCTCCTCCTCCTCCCCATGATTCCATGATTCCTACGTTAATCTTCTCATCTCCCTCTTCTTCCTCCTCTGCCTCATCTCGCTCGGACTCCTTAGCATCCCTCTCACCCTTCCTCTCTATCTCTCAGCTCCTTCTCATCCTCTTCCTCTCACCCTCCTTCCCCCCCTCCTTCAACCCCTCCCTCCCTCCCTCCATCCGCCGCGTCCTCCTCCTCCTCATCCTCCTCGTCCTTCTCCTCATCCGCCTCCGCCTCGTCATCGTCGTCATCATCATCATCAGCATCATCAACAGTATCAGCATCAGCATCAGCATCAGCATCAGCATCAGCATCAGCATCATCATCATCAGCATCATCATCATCATCATCATAATCATCATCAGCATCATCATCATCATCATCATCATCATCATCATCATCATCATCATCATCAACATCATCACCATCATCAGCATCAGCATCAGCATCATCATGATCATCATCATCACCATCATCATCATCGTCGGCATCGTCATCATTGTCATCATCATCATCATCATCCTCCTCATCATCATCACCATCAACAGCAGCAGCACCAGCATCAGTATCAGCATCATGCTCATCATCATCATCATCATCATCATCATCATCATCAGCATCATCATCATCATCATCATCATCATCATCATCTTCATCAACAGCAGCAGCACCAGCATCAGTATCAGCATCATGCTCATCATCATCATCATCATCATCATCACCACCATCATCATCATCATCATCATCATCATCATCAACAACAGCATCGTCATCATCATCATTATCATTGTCATCATCCTCATCCTAATCCTCATCCTCCGCCTCCTCCTCCTCATCATCGTCATCATCAGCAGCAGCCTCGGCATCATCAGCAGCATCAGCATCAATAGCATCGTCATCAGCATCGTCATCATCAGCAGCAGAAGCATCCTCATCGTCATCAGCAGCAACATCATCATAGAAATCATCCAACTCCTAGTCATCGCCATCATCATCATCTTCATCATCACCATATTCCGCATTATCATCATCATTATCAGCAGCACCACCATTATCTACATCATGATCGGTATCATCATCATCGTCATCTTCATCATCAGCATCAGCATCATCTTTATCATCATCATCATCAGCATCATCGTCATCGGCATCGTCATCGTCACCATCATCAGCAGCATCATCATCAGCATCGTCATCGCCATCCTCAGCATCATGACCATCATCAGCATCAGAAGCAGCAGCATCATCATCAGCACCGTCACTATCACTACCCTCATCATCATCGTCGTCGGCATCATCATCGTCATCATCATTATCAACACCATCATCGTTACTATCAGTATCAACATCACTATCATCATCGCCATCATGAGCATCATCATCATCAGCATCATAAACATCACCATCACCATCCTCATCCTGAAACTCACGCTCACCATCATCCTCATTGCCATCCTCATAACCATCACCATCCCACCATCATCATCCTGAGGGGGGTCTGGCTAAGGGGGCGCATTGACCTGATTTGGCGATGCATCGCCGACCGATCAGCGATGTGCCCCCGATGGCGAGGGGCGGGGAGGGCCATCAGGCACTCTCGGCGATCAATGGGCAATTGGGGGTCGGTGCGCCTTCCAACTCCCCCTGGGCCGATCCCCCCCCCGTTAAAGTTGCGACTCGGCTCCTCCTCCTCCTCCTCCTCCTCCTCCTCCTCCTCCTCCTCCTCCTCCTCCTCCTCCTCCCCCTTGCCCTCCTCCCGAGAGTCCTGTGGAGGTCCCAAACAGGCCCTGCAGGTCTCTAAGAAGGCCAAGGGCCCCTGCGGAGATCCCCAGAGGGGCGCCCGGAGAGGCGCCCGCTGGAGGCCCAGCTGAAGATGCCGGCCATCCTGCGGGGTCTGACGTGTGGCCGCAGCGAGGGCGACCGCTGTCCTCGTCGACCCCGAGGGCCTCGAACGCGTCCAGCAGCTCCTGGAAGGTGGCGGCATCGTCCACGCCAGGCGCCTTGAGCTGTCTACCCTTCAGGTACGCGTAGTCCTCCCGCCGTCGCCGTCGTCGTCGATCCACGATCACCGATCATCGAGGATCGAGCCTGCTGTCGGGGCGTTTCTGCTGCAGCTTCGGGCCTCGGGGGGGCGACCTCGCCTCAACGGCTGGATCCGCCACGAGATTCTTGCCAGATTTGAGAAAGACAGTTCTCGTGCTGGGAGGAAGAGGTTGGGAAGGTACAGGGTACGAATGTGTAATAAGCAACTTCGAATGCTCGATAATGGGTTACCCCATCCTCCCAACCTGATATTTGTCTTTCTGAAGATCGCGCCCCCGGACAAGTCCGGGGATCGGTCGATCGATCAAACGTCGTCAACGTCGAAGGCGGCGGCGTCATCGATTTCATTTCCATGATATTTCAAACATGTCTCAAGGGCCTCGTCCCGGGGCGCTGAGAGCAGGACTCCGAGGCGGACCCAGCCACGCCCGCGCGGGCGCCCCAACTGGCGCGACGACGTCCGAGCCTCGCCCCCCGATGCTCGATCCATCACTCAACTTTTTTCTCCTCCTCCTCCTCCTCCTCCTCCTCCTCCTCCTCTTCCTCCTCCTCCTGACGCGGAGATCCGAAGCCCCCCGTCTCCGAGGGCCCGAAAGCCCCCATGCCCGAAGCCTCCAGAAGGCCTCCGGGGGCAAACAGAGGACCGACGATGTTCGAACAGCTCGGTCATCGAACCCCGATCCCTCCGCCTCCTCCCCTCGGGCCTCGACCCTCGATGCTGTAGCCTCCTGCCCCCCGCGAGTAGCTTCTGCTCCCCCTGGAGTGGCCTCTTAGTTCCCCTTGAGTATGGCCTTCTACCCCCCCCCCCCCGACCCCACAGTTGCCTTCCCCCCCCTGGAGTAGCCCTCTATACCCCCCCCCCGTTGGTATCCGTCTACTCCCTCGGGGGTAGCCCTCTCTCCTCTGCCAGGAGGCCAGCGCGATTCCCCTGGGAGCAGACCACTGCGGGGGGCAAACACATGCTTCCAGGAGGAAGCATAGGAGCAACCCATCGCATGCGCACACCTCGATCTTCGGACAGTCCTCTCCTCCCTCCTGAAACATGCATCAGATCCTCCTGTTTGTCGCTAGGTCAACATAAGCATCTGGGCTGGTGCGTTCAAATCCTTCTCCTCCTTCTTATCATCCTTCTCCTCCTCCTCCTTCTTCTCCTCCTCCTGGTTATCCTGATCATCCTCCTCTTCCTTATCTTCCTCGTCCCCCTCCTCATCATCACCCTCATTATCCTCAGTATCATCCTCATCATAATCATCCTCATCCTCCTCATCAGAATCAGCAGCAGCAACAACATCTCCAAACTCCATCCTCCGTACTTCTATACCCGTCCTTCTTCGCCTTCTCCATCCTCCTCCTCCTCCTCCTCCTCCTCCTCCTCCTCCTCCTCCTCCTCCTCCTCTTCCCGCGTCCCTCCTTCTGGTGCGCTCTCGCGCTAGTAAAGCCAGGGCCAGCATAGGATCGGCGCCCCCATTACTCCCCTCCCTGCCGCCTCCTCTTCCCTCCCTCCCCCTGGCCTCCCTGCCGCCCTCCTCCGCCTGCGCCTACGACGACTTCGACGACGCTGGTGACGACGACGTCGACGACGACGACGTCGACGACGACGACGACGACGACGGCGGCGACGGCGACGGCGACGACTCGCCGTTGATCCTCTGGCGGCTGGATGTCGAAGCCCTTCAGCTCGTCCCTGCTCCTGCTCTCGACCAGGGCGAAGAACACGTGGTACGTTCGCTCCTTGCGGTCGCAGGAGCACACGCGAGTAAGCTCCAGCAGGTAATCGACAATCCTGGGGCGCAGAAGGAACGGTACAGCACCATCATCCGTCAGCATAGCGTCACCTGGGCGGCATCGCCAGGGAGCTGCCGCCTTCGTGCACAGACTGCAATTAAGATTTTTCTGGGCGAGCGCCTCGCCCCCGTGGCGCCGACGAGCCCATGGCATGACCCTGCTCGGGTGCTGCCGCACCCGGGGCCTCCCGGGGATCTGCTGACCCGGGTCAGTCCAGACCCGGGTCAATCAGTCATGTCTTGCAGAATCCTCAAAGATCCTGCACCCGAGCTTGGGCCCACGCGAAGGATCCTGCAGGGCCCTGCAGGAGCCTGCACCCCATCCCGGGTCAGTGCGACCCTGGCCCTGCAAGATCCCGCAAGATCGGGCGCCCTGGCTGACCCCCGCTTGCACCGACCCCCCTCCCAGGGCTTCCGGTGGGGCCTCGAAGCAGCCGAGGCTGCCGGCCCGTCCTCGCGTCTGGCCTCGCGAGGAGGGCAGGAACAACAGCTGCTCTGGACAAGCAGCCGGGCCCCGTGGGGGAGGGGAACTTCGAGTCAGGTCGAGCATGTCCCCCTCCAGGGTTATGTTGTTCACATCCTACTTAAGGACCACCTCCCAGAAATAATTCCGAGCACCCCGATGGGCGCTCGAAATTCTCCCTGGTGAACAAAGCTAAAGTAGGTTGGAGCATCAGACCTACCGGGAAATCTTGAACGACAAAGCAAAAATACTCCAAGCATATGCAAGACTAATCAAAACATCATCGACACATCGTCCCCCGGCTATTCGTTGAGCACTTATGAATATTCCTCCTGTCGAGGGACAGGCCCGACTTAAAACTAGAAAGAGAGACCTCCGGGCGCCCCCGAACCGCCAAGGATCGGAGCGCCGGAGGTCTGCGGAGGGGGCTCGAGCATCGAAGATCCAGGATGTTGCTCCCTTCGTACTTAAAACCACATCCAAGAGATCATTTCGAGCACCCGAAAAAGTGAGGAGGAGGGGGAGGAGGAGGAGGAGGAGGAGGAGGAGGAGGAGGAGGAGCAGAGGAGGAGGAGGAGGAGGGGAGGAGGAGGAGGGGAGGAGGGAGAGGGGGGAGGAGGAGGAGGAGGAGGAGGAGGAGGAGAGGAGGAGGAGGGGAGGAGGAGGAGGGGAGGAGGAGGGGGAGGAGGAGGACCTCCCCATCCTCACTTCTCTCCCGTCCTACACATGTTAGCGCGGTGGCGGTGGTGGGAAACTGCAGGATCCTGCAGGACCCTGCAGGACCCTGCACCCGAGCCCGGGTCAGCGCACCCCTGGCTCTGCAGGATCTCCCGCAAGAGATCCCGCGCTCCGGCGGAGCCCCGCCTGCCTCGACCCCCGTCCTTTTCTCGGGCCCCTGCTCGAGCGGTGCTCGCGCCGCACCCCCTGGGGGATGGACCGAGTGTCCACCACACTGCCAGTGGCAAAACGGGGGAGAAGGGAGGGAGGATGCGGAAGTCCTCCTCCTCCTCCTCCTCTTCCTCGCCCCCCTCCCTCCTCCTCCTCCTCCTCCTCCTCCTCCTCCTCCTCCTCCTCCTCCTCCTCCTCCTCCTCCTCCTCCTCCTCCTCCTCCTCCTCTTCCTCTCCCTCCTCCTCCCTTTTCTCCGCCTCCTGTGCCAGGCTCCCCTGGCAGAGGCCCTGTCTAAGCAGAGGCCCTTCCCAGAGGCCCGCGGGCGTCCGACGTGTTGTGGGACGCACAAGGACAGACTACCACAATATATGTGTGTCCGCCTTGGAGGCGTGCGTCCGACCCGAACATTATGGCCAGAGAGCGCCCGTCACGAAGCTTAGACTATAATATTTCTCGGCGCGCGCGTCGCTCCTGGGGGGGCGACGCACACTCAGTATCAGTATGTAGGGGTGACGCCGAGGTTGTGCTCATCTGGTGTCGTCCCTCCCGCCCATCTCCTGCAGCCCTGCATGTCGCCGGTCGCGTCGAAGGGTATCTCCATCCACTTCCCGAAGCGGGAGGAGTTGTTGTTCCTGGGGCAAAGAGTGAGTGCGGCGTGAGGGGCGTGGCCTCCCTGCAGGGCAGGGCGATGCCCCAGAGGGACTCGGGAAGGCTTTCTCAAACTGCGGGGACCATCACTATCGGGGACGCGCTGGCATGGATGGATTGAGCAGGGACCGACTGTCCGGGCATTCTTGTAGGCCTACAGCGACATGTTCTTAGAACCCGAATAAGTACGAATACCACAACCATGTTCTTAGAACATTAATCCGAGGTATCAAACCAAGACAATCTCGGCAAGCAATGTTCTAAGAACATTTCGAGCAGACCACGAAGTGTTCTTAGACCATTCTTTGGTGAGCCTATAGGCACGCCAGGACGCTCCGCCACTGCTTGAATGGACGACGGATCGGGGCACGCACAACAGGCACATACGGACAGAAACCCTGCTGCAAGAGACCCACAGGCGCATTCGCACAGTCTTCGTCGGGAGATCCGCCAGCCCCCACGCGGGGCCATCAGGCTGCGGAGATGGGGTATACTGCAACCTGTGCCAGCAGCAGCTCCCGGCTTACAATGTTGCAGCTCTGCGTTCTGCTTCCTGCTGTAGATTGTTCTGTCCGCGCGAGGGGGGGGGGGGGGGGGGGGGGCGAAAACCGCCCTGGCGGGGCAACGCTCCCTCGTAAAACTACGCCGCAGTCGCGCTCCGTGGGGCCACGACCCCTGGCAAATGTCGCCGCGCATTCACGCCCCCGACGCCACGATACCTTGACAATTATACCGCATTCGCTCGCGCCCCCAAGGTCACGATCCATCGAAATTTCCACGGTCGCGTCCCCGAAGCCAAGATCCCCTGCAAAATAACGCCACGCCCGGACCCCCGAAGCCACGATCCTTTGCAAATTACCTCGGATTCGCGCCCCTGAGGCCCCGATCCATTGCAAATTACGCTGCAAGCGCTCCCGAAGCCACTATCCATCGCAAATGACGCCAGACTCGCATCCCCGAGGCCACATCCTTTTTTGACATTTCCCACGGTTTCGCGTCCCCGAGGCTACAATCTTTCTTGTAAACTGCAACACGTCCGCGCTGGCCACAATCCCTCGCCAATCACAGCAGATTCGCGCTCTCGTGGTCACACTCCTTTGGACACTACCATAGGCTGCCCCTTCGTAAACTACAACATGCTCGCGCTCCCAAGGCTACGAGCCCAACCCCTGGAGGCTGCCTCAAAGCATCACCCCCTCTCCAGGGCGGAAAAACTGAAATGTTCTGCAATGGGACTTGAGCAGGGACCGACCGTCCCGGCATTCCTACAGGCCTGCCACGAAATCTTCTCAGAACCCAGACATGTTCTGAGAACTATAGCAATGTGCTTAGAACAGAAGCCTGGTATGTTCAAACAAGACAGTCTCAGCCAAAAATGTCCTAAGAACATTTCTTTGGACGCCCGAAATGGGCACGGAAAGAATGGGTACAATGCCCAACAACAAATGTTGCCCCAAACCAACAGCGGCCACTGTTGGGCAGGCGGCCTTCTGTCTCAAATGGACACAGGCCGCGGCGGCGCGGACAGCGAGTCCTGTCCAAAATGAGCCGGGATTGCTGTTGGGCATTGTACCCATTCTTTCCGCACCCATCTCGCTCGTGCAGAATTTTGCGCAGACGACATAAGGTCCTTGGACCATTCTCTGGTGGGCCTATGGGCACGCCAGGACGCTCCGCAACTGGAGGGACACGCGCCGGGGTGCGCTGCTCGGCCCCCGCGCCGCTTCCAGAGAATGCTGCCCCGGGCCCGCGGCCGCCGGCCCTCGACAATAGCGAGGCGCGCAAGGAGCCCGGCCACCGTCCCAGCCGCAGGATCTGTTCCCAGCGGGCCTCAGGCAGCCCACAGCTGTGCCAAGAGCTTAGTGGGCCCCGGAAACGACAGGGCCGTTTTTTACCGGATCCGTTTTTCCTTTTTGTTGCTGGTTCCGACGCCGCTTTTTTACTGGTTACGTCGCCGTTTTTTGACCGGTTCCTGCTCCGGTTCCAATCCTGGAGCCGTTTTTGTTGCCGCTTCCGGTCGCCGTTTTTGTTGCCGCTTCCATGTTCAAAGGACATGTTCTTGGAAACGGTGAAAAAACGGCCCTGCCGTTTCCGGGGCGCACTAAGGCCAAGAGGCATTCTCATTGAACAACACGAGGGCAAGGCTCCCTGAGGTTGCAACCAAGCTTTCGAACAACAGCTCCAGCTCTCAAAGAGGTTTTGGGGCATTGCGCGCTGCCCTCGCACGACGTTCCCGGTGGTCTTCCAGACGGCGCCAGGACATCCCAACAAAGCTCTGAGACATCCCGCTCGGACAGGACGAGGGAGCCAGCGGTGGAGGGCGACCCCGTGGTGGACCAGAGATCCTCGTGGGGCGCCGGCTCCCTGCGTTGAGCGCCTATAGGTATACTCAGTGGGGCGCCGGCGGGCGCCGAAAAACGCTGCACGGCCCTGCGGGGCCCTTTCGCTGCCGCGGGCGCCTGCGTCCGTGCCTGCGCTGCCCCGACTCTGCATCGCCCCTGGCCTCCTCGGGCGGGCGGCCACGGGGGGGGGTGGCCCACATGGGGGACGAAGAGGAGGGCCCGAACGGGGCCCCTTGCTTCACCCCCGATGTGGGTCGCCCCCCACCACTGCCGCCCGCCCGGCCCTCTTGGCCGCCGGCCCCCCTCGCCCCCGGCTTCACAGGAGATCCGCTCCACACCGCCCCCCCGTCCCCTGGCACCCTGCCTGGCTCATTGCCTGGCCTGTGTTCAGAACTGTGGTGTGGCGAGGCTCTCCCGAAGCGCCGAACTAAAACAGCTGGAAACGGCGCCGACGACGAGACCGCCGCCGCTGCTCTCGCGCGCGCAGCCCCTTTCTGAGCAGAACCGGGTTCCGAACGGTCATCGCGTTCCCGAAGGCCTCCAGGATGGCGTTGGTCTGCATGATCTGGTCCTCTTAAGATGAGTATTAAACACATACATGTATCTATCTACCTATAGGTGTATGAATAGATGAATAAATATGTGCACATACACACACACATAGATATACACATGTCTACATACATATATCTATATATATATAGAGATATACGTATGTATATATATATATATATATATATATATATGTGTTGTCCCGGGGGCTCCGGTGGGCGGAGAGTAAAGGAAAGAAGGGTAGGGTGAGAGGGAGGGGGGCGCAGTTATAATACTCGTTGCCTTCGCAGGCCCTCCACTTTCCCGCTTCGCTTTGCACCTCCGGCACCGCTCAGTCTGCACTCGGGTGGTTGTGCTGATTCTTCCTGCAACCAGAACGCTGCAGCCCAGTCACCAAAGTCCGCCTAACGTCAGGCTTGCCATCGCTCGGACGTCCCTGCTCCGTGCGTTTGTCGGTTTCGTGCTGTTGGATGGTCCCCGCCGAGGAAAAAATGCACACGTCCGAGCGATGCTGAGAAAGAGGGAGGGAGGGGGGGCGGGAGAGGCCAAGTCCAGCAAGAGTCCCACCAGATGGAGCGCCCTGGCATCAACTGGACCTGCTCCAACTGGCTTTCGGGCCGCCCGCGAGCGGGCTGAACCAAGCTGGAGTCTTACCAGCTGGAGCGCCCTGGCACCAACTGGACCTGTTCCACACGGACCCAGCACAGCCCGAGGAGGGGAGGGGAGGCCTCGGGAGCGGCTGGAAGCGCCCCCCTGAAGAAGGTGCACCCCACGGGCACCAGGGCACGAGGCATGACTCTGGCTCCTCCTCCTCCTCCTCCTCCTCCTCCTCCTCCTCCTCCTCCTCCTCTTCCTCCTCTTCCTCCTCCTCCTCTTCCTCCTCCTCCTCCTCCTCCTCCTCCTCCTCCTCCTCCTCCTCCTCCTCCTCCTCCTCCTCCTCCCTCTCCTCCTCCCAAGACTTGCACGCGCCGGCTCGAGTCGGGGATGCCGCCCCGCAGGTTTTCCGCGAGAGGGTCGTGTGGCGGCCCGGACGCCCGACGTCCCGACGCTGCCACAACTCGGCGGCAAGCCCCGGGGGGAGCATGAGGACGGGCTGGTGGGCCTGCTTTCCACCACCACCACTACAAGTTGGAGGGGGAGGGGGTCCTCCTCCACCTCCTCCTCCTCCTCCTCCTCCTCCTCCTCCTCCTCCTCCTCCTCCTCTTTCCCCCGTCAACTTGTGGTGGTGGTGGTGGTGGTGGTGGAAAACAGGCCCGTCAGTCTTCTCAGAAGGCTCGGAAGTCCTCGGGCCTTCCGAGAAGTTCTCTCCGAACCCATCCCCGAAGACACCGAACAGATTTCTTGGGAGAGCTGAGAGGGCTCCTGAGCAGGCCCCGCGGCCTTCTGAGAAGGCCTCCTTTTCTTGCTTCTCCCCCCCCTCGCTCGCCGCCGAACTGGGGCAATTGTATTGAAAATGTATAGCGCCAGAAAACTGGATTGCATTGTTTTGTATTGGAAGTAATGTTTTGCACGCGAAAATACAGCAAGACATGTGCGCCCCGACCTGTATTGCAACCCCCAGCTGTCTTGCAACCCCACAAAACTATTGCACCAAACCCATTTCGCCACCCCCTTATCGCTGGACCCCCTTCTGGGTCAACCCGGGAGATGGGCGAGGCCCCCCAGAGGCAGAAACAAAAACAAAAGGAAACCGGTCGCCACGATATTGTTCACGCCTTCCGGGGTCTGGGGGAGCCGCCCGGCCCTCTCGCTGGAGCCCCTGCAAGGGCAGAAACCGAGGCCCCTGAAGGAGCCCCTCCGGAAGTCACGACACCTTCTTCCCCAGGCTGGCTTTCCATCCTGAGTCGTGTTGAGACAGCCCCGGGCCTCAGCAAGGGCTCCCAGAGGCCGAAAATAACCAGCATCAGCTCAATCGAGCTGTTTTGTGTTCCCGATCGTGGGAGGTGTGGGGGCCCGCTCGCCCTTCGCGCCGAAGCCCCCGAGAGGGCACGGCTGGGGCCGAGTCCTGGATGTTCCGCTGGCCGCCTCCGCCCTCCGTCAAGAAGCGGCTGCCCCGCCTCTCGGCGGAGGCGTCCCCCTGCGCGCTCGCGAGGTCGCCGTTGGTCCTGCGGGATCGAACCCTCCTCCTCCTCCTCCTCCCCTCCTCCTCCTCCTCCTCCTCCTCCTCCTCCTCCTCCTCGTCCTCGTCATCCTCCTCCTCCTCCTCCTGTTCCCCGTCTCCTCCTCCTCCTCCTCCTCCTCCTCCCTCCTCCTCCTCCTCCTCCTCCTCCTCCTCATCCTTCTCTTGTTCCTCCTCCTCCTCCTCCTCCTCCTCCTCCTCTTCCTCCGCCTCCTCCTCCTCCTCCTCCTCCTCCTCGTCCTCCCTTTTTTACTTTGGCAGCAACGCACATTCCCCTGAACAGTGAACTGCAACAGCAGCCAGAGGAGAACTGATGAAACAGGACGCATTCACCTGTAATGATAGCAGAGGGATGCATTCATCAATGTCAACAAACACACCCTTCTTGTCAAGGTGCAGGCCTTTACGGAGCCTGCGAATATTCTTCAAGCCGTCCTCCGCCAGGTGCCCGCATTTGCGTCCCAGGCCAATCACTTGACCTCCATTGCTATAAAACTTGCACGACATGAAAAAAAACAGGTGACTCTTGACACTGCAAGGAAACGCAATGACACGGTGTCCCTTGGACGCCAGGACCCCTTGGTCCAGAGGGCAGGCCCCAGGGCAACCTCCACCAATCGGTTTGGACACGGCACGGGATCCACGAAGGCAGACTAAACAACGCCAAATGTTTCCCTGCTTGGTCTAGTCGTGGCACACTTCAAGCGAGGGAGCATCCGAGGGCTGGGGCCTAGGAGTACGCCCTAGACCTCGGAACTCAAGCTCAGGCCACAGCGGCAGGAGCTCCGCTCCTGCCAGCACGACAAGACGCGCAATCTTCAGACGTCTCTGCAGGTCTTCCTCTTCAGAGGGGGACCAGCTGGGGTGTAGCAGCACAGCTTCCTTGGCCGCGATATCGGCGCAGTGGTCCCCAAGACGCAGGAACTTCTCTCGCGAACTAAGCCCCTCTTCGTCGAGGTCACGGTGCGCTGCAACCTTAACAAACGAAGAAACATTAGACCCAAAATGCTGCCGCGCTTGAATGACATGGCCAGCGTACTGACGCTTCCCAGAGATGGCATCCGCCTCTCCGAAGTTCATTAAATGCACCACATTGCTGCTATCTGAGTGGCAGTCAGAGGGGCCTTCAGAATAAAGCCCCGTCCAGGCCAGGGCCCCAAATTCAGAGCCGTGGGGGGTCTGAGGCCGAGGGGCCCATAAAATGACCTTTGAAAATCCCGAGGCGCTCCCCAGACTGAGAGACCATGACCACGGCCCAGCCAGCCCGAGACAGCTCTCTAACAGTGTGGCGCCAGATCCCATCGGTAGGAGGAATGGAGGGAGGAACAGCAGCATCTGACGGGTCAGGCAGCAGATCCGTATACCAGTCATAGACCACACCCGTTTTCGTAGCAGGAGGAGGAGCGAGATCTCCAGGAAGCCTCAGAGCCCCATGTAAGTATAGCACTGCGTCCTCAGAGTCAGGGCCAGCTTGGCGGGCTTTTCTTGAAGCCACATAGGAAGAACTGCATCTCGCTCCTGCTGTACAACAGGGCATTCGTAGAGACGGTGAAAAAGAGTGTCTCAAGCTTCGCCACACAGCTGACAACGATCAGAAATAGATAGCCTGCCGACGCCACGTCACATGCTGTCCAACATGCCTTGGTCGCTAAGGCTCTGACCCAACCCTTAGTCTTAGCCCCAACTTTTTCGCCCCCCCCCCGGATATTCTTGGCAACGTCCCAACATAACCGAGCCCCCAAACCGTACCTGTCTCCAGAAACTCGCTCCAGGGAGCGAAAAACAGCTTCCTTGCAAAAAACCTCAATAAGCTTAGGGCTGGAGAGGGCGAGGGATATGTCACGCCCAAAGTCGCCGACGATGGTGCAAAAAATGGGCATGGTCCACCCCAGCCTGTGTAAGGTCATTCCCAGGGCCGAGATAGGGCCTCGGACCTTGGCCCCAGACCAGTTGTCAGAAGAGAACACCGCGTTCCACCCCGCACGCATTTCGGCCCACGAGAGCGACCAGGGGAAGGCGTTTTTTTCTCAAAATCCCGATTTCTTTGGCCCAGCGAATGATAGGGGACAACTGCCCCTCCAGGTCGGATCCCATTCGGGTAAGGAGAGCACGTGTAAGGACCTGCCCTGAGATCTTGGCTTGATGCAAGACATGGCCATCCTACGCAAGCTGAGCAGCTCGGAATCCGAGACCCCGTAGAGGTCCGAGCCGTACACGGCCCCAGCCAGGGGACCCGCGGTAAAAACCCGAAGGGCCTTTGAGCCAAGGGCCTCTCCAACGCCTTGCAGACACGGAGATTTACGCAAAGCAGCAGCAGCACGGGCCTTCATTTTAGCAGACCTGCCTTTCCCTGCTCGCACAGGTCGACCAGCAGTGGTGACCCTCGTGCAAGCTGTGCCTACCAAGCTGCCAAGGGACTCCTCCAACTTGTGAGCTACAAAGCTGCTGCTGCTAACCATGCCAATCCTGTCCATGGCCAGCTTGCACTGCAGGGTGCGAGTGGCAGCCGCATGCAGAGCACGAGCACCACGACAAAGAACTCCAATGACCTCCTTGGCTGAGCCCGTGGCATTCAGACGGAGGTCGTCTATGCACGCATCGAAGTGGCACCGTCCTGGTTCTCGCGGGATACCATCAAAGGCCTCCCTGGCAAACACTCTGATCAAACTAGTGGCGAAGGAACACCCCGCCACGATGCCCCTCCTAGGGAAGAAAGGGCCGTCAACAATACCCCCGGGAGCCATGTAACGAGCCGCAGAGTAAGCCTGAATGGCCAGCCGGGCAAGGCACGCGGGGAACCTATGTTGAAGGCATTTCTGCCATAAGAACTCAAGATCAATATGTTCGTAGTACGTCCTTAAACCCCCCCCCCCCCCAAAAAAAAAAACGAGGCCGTGCACTGGCCCAGAAAAGCCCCACCTTCGGCCCTAAAGGCCTGTCTCCAAACCGCGTCTCCAGCTCCTCGGAAGGCTCCAGCAGCCCAGTAGCCCCTCAAGACTCTTGTAGGACAACTCCCACCTAAGAGCTGCACCTCTCCTAGAGCGACCCCAAACTCGATACCAGCTCGGGAAAACACCAATCGGACGGAAGCCTCCAGTAGGCTTGTTAAGGAGGGCCAGGAGGACCCAAGCAATCTGGGGGGGAGGGCCCCAGTGCCTTCCATAACCGCAAACCACAGAGCCATCGCATGGAGCGCCACATCGGGGAGCAAGGCAAAGTGTCGGCAATGGAACCCGCCCACGCTAACAGCCGAGGCAGGCCTGTACTTCTTAGAAACAACACGAATCTCAGAAGACTCAAGGAGAGGCGAGTGCGGCAAGATGCCGTTGCCGTCGCCTTTTGCAGAAGTCAGCAAGTCCACTGCATTTCTGCCAGATGTCACTAAACTTATCCGCCTCCGCCTTGAGGAGGCCCACAGGATCCGCGACAATAACTCTGCACCGAGAATGGGTGGTGGTCGGAACCCAAGCGATAGGCTCTCTGATAGCCATCTGGGCGTGCTTCCCCCTTTTTCGAGCCCCTGACGAAGCCAGTCGTGCCAGTCCTTCCTCGAAGCCTTAGCTGACGCCGCCCCAGCAGACTAAACAGCACCAGCCGCATCCGAGATTAAACAATCGAGATCGGCATGGATCACGGGATCGCCGCTGTCTGTTCCAATGGCGCGGGTTAAGCTGGCGGCAGATGCGAAATACGTGCACCACTCGGAGTCTGCGGCAACCGCCACCGAGGCAGGAGGATGCTAAGTGCATCAACGACCTGGTGACCTCCAGCCTGCAAAGTGTCTCCAAGATAGCACCTAACAGCTCGTAGCTGGTTGAGCAGCCACACGATACTACGCACATGCAGGTCCTTGACTCGACCCGCAGGCTTGAGAACAGACTTCCAATAGAGTTGAAGTATTTTTCCCCTAGCCCCTAAGGTGGAGACCTCAACCCCAAGGCTTTTCACCAAGTCGCGTTCAGCCGAGTCCGCCCACGCCTTATAACCAGGACTGAGCAGCCTGCGAGCCCTCCGAGAGTCCCAGATGTTCATAGCCTCAAAGGCTTCTTGAGCGAGCATCAGAGCGCCTTCCCAATCCCCAGGGCACGGAGCAGGTCCCAAAAGAGCCTACACAGGAAGGTCGGGGGAACGGCGGAAGGCGAGAGCCTTGAGGTCGCCAAGAGAACTGTGAAACTGCAACGTGACAGGGCGATGGGGAGCGAGGGAGGAGTCATCGGTGACCTCCACTTCCCTCAAGCAAAGCCCCAGGGCCTCCGAGCGGACGGAATAATCAAAGCGGTCAGGGGGGCCCACACTGGGGAAGTGGGTGTGACCACTGGACTCCTCCTCCTCCCTCCTCCTCCTCCTCCTCCTCCTCCACCTCCCTCCTCCTCCTCCTCATCCTCCTCCCTCCTCCTCCTCCTCCGTCTCCTCCTCCTCCTCCTCCTCCTCCTCCTCCTCTCCTCCTCCTCCTCCTCCTCCTCCCCCTCCTGTTCCATCCCCCTTCTTCCTCCTCCTCCTCCTCTTCCTCCTCCTCCTCTTCCTCCTCCCTCCCTCCTCCTCCTCCTCCTCCTCTTCCTCCTGCTCCTCCTCCTCCTCCTCCTTCCTCCTCCTCCTCCTCCTCCTCCTCTTCTTCCTCCGCCTCCTCCCCCTCATCCTCTTCCTCCTCCTCGCTCCTCCTCCTCCTCCTCCGCCGCCTCCTCCTCCTCCTCCTCTCCTCCTCCTCCTCCCTCCTCCTCTCTTCCTCCTGCTTGTCCAACGCCTGATCCTCCCTCCTCCTCCTCATCATCATCCTCCTCCTCCTCATAGTCCCCCTCCTCCTCCTCCTCCTCCTCCTCCTCCTCCTCCTCCTCCTCCTCCTGGTCCTCCTCCCCCCCCCCCCATCTCCTCCTCTTCCTCCTCCTCCTCCTCCTCCTCCTCCTCCTCCTCGTGTCCTCCTCCTCCTCCTCCGCCTCCTCCTCCTCATCATCATCATCCGCCTCCTCCTCTCTCCGCTCCTCCTCCTCCTCCTCCTTCCTCCTCCTCCTCCTCCTCCTCCTCCTCCGCCTCTTCCTCCTCCCTCTCCTCCTCCTCATCTTCCTCCTCCTCCTCCTCTTCCTCCTCCTCCTCCTCCTCCTCATCCTCTTGTTATTTGTCTGCTTAGTCTTCTTCTTCTTATTCTGATTTTTCTTCTTATTATTATTATTAGTATTAGTATCAATATTATTATTATTAATATTATTATTATCATTATTAGTATCATCATCATTATTATTATGCTTCTTCTTATTATTCGTCTCATTATTATTCTTATTCGTCTTCGTCGTCTTCTGATTCCTCTTATTATTCTTATTATTCATATTATTCTTCATCGTCTTCTTCTTATTATTATTCTTCTTCTTCCTCCTCCTCCTCCTCCTCCTCCTCCTCCTCCTCCGCTTCCCGCTTCCCATCCTCCTGCTCACTCCTCCTCCTCCTCCTCCTCCTCCTCCTCCTCCTCCTCCTCCGCCTCCTCCTCTCCTCCTCCTCCCTCTCTCCTCCTCCCCTCTTCCTCCTCCTCCTCTCCTCCTCCTCCTCCTCCTCCTCCTCCTCTTCCTCCTCCCTCCGCCTCCTCCTCCTCCTCCTCTCGCCTCCCCTCCTCCTCCTCCTCCTCCTCCTCCTCCTCCTCACCCTCCTCTCCTCCTCCGCATACCTCCTCCTCATCCTCCTCCTCCTCCTCATCCTCCCTCCTCCTCCTCCTCCGCGTCCTCCGCCTCCTCCGTCGCCTCCTCCTCCTCCTCCTCCTCCACCTCCTCCTCCTCCGCCTAGCATCATCATCATCCGCATCAGCATCAGCAGCATCATCATCATCATCATCATCCGCATCATCATCATCATCAGCATCATCATCATCATCATCATCATCATCATCATCATCATCATCAGCATCAGTCATCATCATCATCATCATAATCATCATCTCATCATCAGGCATCATCATCATCATCACATCAGCACAGCAGCACATCGTAAGCGTCAGCATCCAATCAGCATCATCATCATCATCATCAGCATCATCATCATCATCATCAGCATCATCATCATCACATCATCATCATCGTCATCATCATCATCATCATCCTTCATCGTCATCAGCATCATCATCACAGCATCATCATCAGCATCATCATCATCATCATCAGCATCATCATCATCATCATCACCATCATCATCATCATCAACATCATCATCATCATCATCAGCATCATCATCATCATCATCATCAGCAGAATCATCATCATCATCAGCATCAGCATCATCAGCAGTCTCATCATCATCATCAACAGCATCATCATCATCACCAGCAGCAGCAGCATCATCATCATCAGCATCATCATCATCAGCATCATCATCATCAGCATCATCATCATCATGAGCAGCAGCAGCAGCAGCGCATCATCATCATCATCATCATCGGCATCGTCATCATCATCATCATCATCATGATCATCATCATCAGCATCAGCATCATCATCATCATCATCAGCATCATCATCAGCATCATCATCATCAACATCAGCATCATCATCATCATCCTTCTCCGTATCCTCCTCCTCCTCCTCCTCCTCCTCCTCCTTCTCCTCCTCCTCCGCCGCTCCTCCTCCCTCTCCTTCCTCCTGGTTCCTCCTCAGCATCCTCATCGTCCTCCTCCAAGTTCCATGTTCTCCTTCTCCTCCTCATCCTCCTCCTCCTTCTCCCTCTCCCCTCCTTCCTCGTCCTCCTCCACCTCCTCCTCCTCCTCCCATCATCATCAAGATCCGCCTCCTTGTCCTCCTCCACCTCCTCCTCCTCCTTCTTCTCCTCATCCTCCTTCTCTCTCTTCTCATCCCTCTCCTTTCTCCCCCGCTTCCTGCTCCCTCTCCCCCCCCCCCTCCCCCTCCCCCTCCTCCTCCTCCTCCTCCTCCTTCCTCCTCCTCCTCCTCCTCCTCCTCCTTGTGTTACTCCGTCTCCTCCTTCTCCTCCTCCTCCTTGTCCTCCTTATCATCCTCCGTCTTATCCGTCTCCTCCTCCTCCTCATCATCATCCTCATCCTCCTCCGCCTCCCGGGGATGTAAGTTGGTGAAAGTGTGTTTGGTCGGCCCGCCAACGCCACCGCCGAGTATCGCCGCTCGCTCCTACACCGATGCAGGCATACTTATAACCTGAAGCTCTCTCCAGGAGAGGCGTGCCGCTCACTCTTACAGTGTGAGCGGGACGCCTTCTGGGAGAGAGCTCTGGACTGAAAAGTGGACGGGCGAGTAGAGGCACCTTCTCAGTGTGCCCGCCCGTCCATTTAATTTCCCCCGAAGGCTGATTCAGGCAAGGTTTGCCAGGCTGGTTCTAGCAGCAAAACCTCCTCCTGCTCCGTCTCCCCCATCCTCCTCCTCCTCCTCCTCCTCCTCCTCATCATCATCATCCTCGTCGTCCTCCTCCGTCCCCTGCTTCCCCTCCTTCCCATCCTCCTCCTTCCCCTGGTTCCCCTCCTTCCTCTCCTCCT